CCCCCCACAGCAGCCGCAGCAGGAGCCGCCCCGGGAGCACCTGTACGAGGTGCAGCTGTCACAGCCGCCACAGCCACCGCCGCAGCCACCACCGCAGCCGCCACAGCCACAGCCACCACCGCAGCCACCACAACCGCAGCCACCACCGCAGCCACCACAACCACAGCAGCCCATAGTGTCAGCAGAGAGGACTCAGGAGAGGGGAGGACGGAGACTCAGGAGGTGAGGAGGGTCTGATGCCGCCTCCTGCTGGGGTGGGGGCTTATATAGCAACTCTGGGCACAGGATTGGCCTAAGGCTCAAGGCCACTTCCCTGTTGCTGATGCAAGTATCCACAGCAGAACCTCACATGGCCTTTGTGCCTTCCTTCATGGATCCTTCCCACTGAAAATATTTGCTAAATTTAGCTCTCACTTGTCTATTTAAAGCCCTCTTTAAAACAGAACAGGAAATGACTATTAACCCCCTTTTCTTTTCTGGTGATTGTCAGCGTCTGAGCGGGTCAGAATTTCCCTTGGCCACTTTTACATCTCTCAGCCATCTCAGCCCAGGACAAAGATTTTTTCATTCCTACACCATTTATAACCTTTTACTAAGCTGGGAAACATCACTTTAGATAGAGGAGAGTATTCTGAAAGTCGAAGGGGAAAGTGTTATTTCATCCTTGGGTAATTCCTCATCCTGTCACGTCGGTCAGGGCTCTGATTCAGAGGAGAGAGGATACTGTGTCATCAGGGCTACTCTGGAGCATCCTCTGCGTTGAGCTGGATGATAGAAGCACATCCTGGACAGAACGTCCCCAAGCCACCTGCCAAATTCAAGGACACTTCTGCTATCAGCAGCCTCTTAAGAAAGGACAACCTAAAGACATTTCCAACAGCCATGTGTCTCCAGGGTGGTCAGGGACCAGTGCCCTGTGGAACGCTTACTTGAAATGGTTGCTCTTAATTGTCTGTCCCTGCACAGACCACCCTTTCCTGTTAGAGGTAAGCAGTGAAGGCAGTCAGGTTCTGTTGACCTTTCTCAGAATATAAAAAAGCTCTTGGTAGGTCCCCTGAGCCTGCCCGAGCAGCACACAGCTGAGGAAAGCCAGGTATCCGCCCAGCCCCCTGCAGGACCCTGAGTGGGAGGAGCTTGCAACTCCCCAGGAATAATCTTACGATCTGGCCTTTAGCCCTGGGCTCTCTTCAGGTAAGTTTTTAGTTACTGTTAAAAAAAAAAAAAGTCTTGAAGATGACTTCTATGTAATATTTATCAAACCAGAAAGTGAATAAAGTGGTTTAGTGCTCTGGTCCCGCTGCACAGCTCTCTGAACCCCACCTGCACGTACCTGGCATTAGCCATTACACGTCTAGGATAACCCCTGCGTAAAACAGCCAATTCATTTCTGTTGATACTTTTTGGCTGAAATTTTGGAATGTAATTATTTCCTTTGGTAGTTTTCCTGTCCTGTAACAGAGCACAGATAGACAGTAAATTTGCTTAAATGACTGTACTGGAAAATGCCATAAGCAAGATTTCTTTCATGCCTTCAACCAGTATACGGTTCTTCCCAACACTCTCATCTTCAGGATTTGTCTGTTTTTATTAAAAGGGCGCATGAGCTTCTGTTTTCATGCACCTTAATCCTTTCCCATCATGTAAACCGAGGAGGGGGCAATATATTCAGCTTCATAAATAGCTCTTGAATTAGCCTTGTCTTATAAGGAAGTCACTCTGCAGGGCACTGTGAGAACAAAACAAGATGAATCCACAGGCTCTCAGTCTGATAAAAAATGCATGTTAAAAAAATTCTAATACAATAGGACAAGAATCAGAATAACCCTATAAATTGACTTTCTTAGAGGTATGGGGGAGAAAGGTTGATTTTGAGTATAAGTGAGAGAAGGGGAATTGGGAAGACTAAGAGAAGGTCTTCTGTGTAAGAGCTTCAGTAAAGACTGGAGACAGGAAAACGTGAGGCGTGGTCAGGCAGCACCTGCCGTAGACCTACCGGCGGGACTTACAGGATGGGACTTGGGGGAGGCGTGGGAGGCTAAGAACAGCCAGAGCAGAGCCTGGGAACACAGGTGGAATCAAAAGGTAGGAATCTTTGGGCACCACGTTGAAGATGCTTTGGCAGTTTGGAAGTCAGTGGGAATGCTACCAAAGCTGTTGCCCCAGAATCATACCTCCTGCCCCTGCCTTGAATGGAAAGTGACTGCTCTTATCTGGGTTTCAGGCTCAATTATGGAAGGAGGAAAATGCAAAGAGAAAAAACAAGAACTGGTCAGAACCAACCAAGACAGCGGAAGACCTGACATCCAGGAGACCTTGAGCCTCATTATACGCTCACTGGAACACTAACATCCTAAATGACACACCCACCAGTGCCATGGCAGTTGACGGATGCCTTGACAACAACCGGAAAAGCCCATACAGGAACTCAAAAATGCGTTGCCTCGGTTCCCAGTCAAAACCACACCCTATTCTCAGATAAGTCATGATATTTCTCCCTCTTTTCACTCAGTTTCCTCCCTTTCACCTTTACCTTCCTTCGTGTGATGTCTCAGCCCAAATAATACTGAGAAGTTGATTTGTGGACTAAGTTCCCACTTGGTTCTTTGGCCATGGGCTGAAGCTTGTGCTGTTCCAGCCTCGGCATCGGCTTCATTTGCGCCTGTGCGAATCCAAGCAGATAAACCTCGCCGCTGAGACAAGGAGTCTCGGCCCGGGCTAGGACCCTGGCACCTTGGTCCGGGTGACCGTGGATCCAGGTACCCAACTTGGTAACAGGAACTGGGATTCATGCTCCAGGAAGGTAAGTGACAGCAGAACCAGGACTTGGGAAGGTAAGACTGAAGATGAGGATGAGTTACAAGGTGTCTGCAACAGTCTTGGCCAGATCAAGTACGGGTCCCAGTGGGCAAAGGCTGGGGAAGCGAGGGAGGGAAGGAGTGATAAGCCAGGCATAGAGCATTCCCCAGGGAGCATCCCTGCAGGAGAGGAAACGGGGTCGCGTTAAGAGCAGCAAACAGTCTTCTACTAGATCTGTTATTTAGCCACTTAGTAAGGGGTCAGTAAGCAGTTGTTGATGTGCTAATCAGTTGGCTGAAATCAATCCACCATAATGTTCCATGCGGGTCCTCTCACCCTCTTCGAAGCCCTCCTGCCCCAACAACCATCACTCTGCGAGGCTCCCGGGGGGAACCACGTGCTCAGGAACACAGAATGCTCAGCTGCCCTGTGGAGGGACCCTTCCATTTGCTTCACTCTCTACCCCAGGCAGTCTTCCTGGCCAGTGGTGATGCAGCTCTGAGGGTTTATAAGCAGGAAAAACCACGAAAGCACATGGTGGGTGCTACCACCTACAGGTACTGGTTAAAGGTCCTAAGCCAAAGCTGTACCACAACGGAGCCCACCACTGTCCCCAGCTACCATGCTGTGTTGTAGTTTCTGCCAGTGCCAACATCCTGGCCACATCTGTACCCACGTCACCCTCCCCTGATGTCACTCTGCTGCAATGGAGAGAACGTCCTCCCCCCACTTTATGCCACATTCTGTTGCACGGTCCCTAAATCCTGCCCTGGACTCTCCATGACTCTCAAGGCAT